TATTGAAGCGTTTGGTCTAGTAGATTGTATATCAGCATACCCTTCCAGGCTCTGAAGAAGGCGATACTGCCGAAACGTCAGCTAGCGTTGTATTGTATTGTGTTTTTATGGAAGTAAATGTATGCTGTTTAAAAACCTCGCGATTGCTGAACAAGAAAACGACACATGCAAAATTATTTTCAAAATTCTCGAAAACTCTGTCTAAGAGGTCTAGGAAGCCAGATGGTGCAGCTGATCACTGGTCGAGAATATGCAGAGTTTGATTTCTCTTACTTCAATTCGAAAAAAAATTGCTGTGAGCCGAAACTGGCACCAAAATGGTGTTCTTCTCGATGCTACAGATCCATTTCAAATAGACTCGCCCTCATGAAATTTTCACAGCGGATTCCATGTTTTACATTCTGCACTTTCGTATCTCGAAAAAGTCACCTGATTACACAAAATCCTACGTACCTCATGAAGATTCTGAAAAATCTGTGAGTAGCCAAAAGTCTTTATACAACGTTGTTATGTAAGAGCAAAGCGCATGGATTGAAATGATAATTTTCGATCACAAAATCTTAATTTAAATGGAGTTTATCCCACGTAGTTACTCTTTCTCACCAGTCTCCTTCATTATATTACAAATGAATTTTCAAGAAGGAGGGTCATCGCCGGTATCAGAAGCCACAAAACGGTGTGATCGCTGAAGCGAGAATCATATCCATGACAAAACAAGATATAGTATATCCGAGGTTAGCTGCACTCCACCTTTTTGCCCCGAACCACCTCATGACGATCAGTTGCTTTAAGCACTAAACGACTGAGAAAAAACAGTGGTCCAAGGTAACATACAATGTGCTTATCCAGTGTTAACAAATCTAATCATGGAACAAAAGCAAGCATTAACTGGAATACTATGGAGCGGTGCGGTCGGAGCTCCGAATCTTTTCCAAGAAAGTTCGCCATTACCTATAGATAAGCTCTGAGCACTGATCGAACCTAACTAAATAGTTTTGGAAGGAGAGGAAAAGTTAGTAAATTCTGCAGCGACAAACACTGATCAGACTGTAATCACATTGGCGAGAAGATAGTACATCAGAATCCTCACCAGTATCGCCAATTGGAGATTTTTGGCATAGCCCAAAAAAAAGTACAAAGAAATATTGTCGACGCAATAGAGAGCACATATAAAGTTTACAGTTCAGTTTCTGTTGAACGCTACAAAAACGGGCGACTTATAATTTCCCGCCATGAGGTGGAAACGACAACAGAGACTTTCTATGTAAAATCACTACCTACCCACAACCCCCATCTATACTAAATCGTACCGTCCCACTAAAAGGGCGCTACTAACAACAATTCCCATCGGTTCAAATTCGAGGTGTGATTGGGAGCTTGATGCCTTCCACAGTTCTTAGACCTGATAATACTTCATCTAATTGTCTCCAAGACAATGCCTAATTCCTATAAACTTTGCCTGTAGCACATATAGTGCCATGCTTTTGTGCCAGTTGCATTCGCAGCAGAAATAACTTTTCAGGTTCTCAAGTTGCAACTAAATCCTTTATGCGAACCTAACCACCTCCATAGACAATTCTTAGAAGTTAACAAAATGAGTAAAGGAAGAGTCGAGTCTACAAAACATCCGGAAACGGACCTTCAAAGTGTCAACGTATATTCGTGAGAATTTCTGCCTTCCTCAAATGTTATTCGTACTCCTTATTTTATAGCAATGACTGCACATACAACTATCTGTTAAAGCAGAGCAATTACAAATTTTGGACCTGTAGAATTTATTAAATAAACGTTTTGAAAGAAGCGGTACTTGAAGTACTCATTTGCAAGATATAAGAAAATTTTCTGCACGCAAAAACATCCATATAGTGTTTTTGCTTACTATAAATTATTAAAACCATATTCGTGTTCCTAGTGAGACTTGTCCCTCTATTCGTTTCTGTGCTCAGGTTTCTAATTCTTCCTTCTCTCAAAAATAAGAAAAGATGATCAAAATTTTACACACGAGTTGAATATATAAAGTGATGCAGGAGCACAAATCGTAATGATCATTTATTAAGAAATAATGGCCCGACAGGAAAGAAGATAAACATGAATTACTTAGACGCAGTTGATGTAGTTCGAGAATAGCGGAATGAATTGGGGACAAGTATACAGGATATGAAATCCATGTGTTGAAAAATCTTACTAAAAGATATCGCTGGAGATATGCTGCGGAGCAAAATTTGTTGACATATTGCAGGGTTGTTTACGCTATGCGAAGGCTTTCGTCGTATAACCAATCCACAATCCATTTCTATTCGAATGCGTGGTGTATCCTTTAGGAATTGATCAAAACGAACGAGTTCTACTCTTTAATCCATGACAATCTTAGAAACGAATAGATTCCGACAACTGTGAGGTACAGCTCACCTGGAGATGGCAGTCGAATTGACACAATTTTTTCTACCAATTACCTCCTTCTAAGCAACGATTCCATCTCAAACGCATATTTTTTAAATTACTGTCACAACTTATACCTAAGCATATGATAGGGTTATATCTATACTCGTACTATCGTTTAAATTGAAATACTTATTTGGGTACTCAGATGGCCAGTCTTCACTACGTGCGTAGGCGCCAGCATAACTTCCACTTTTTCGGAGTTTCGCTAGTTTAGCTATTGCGGTTCCTGGAGTTTCAAGGTCAGCCCAGCTAAAGTCTGCCCCAGGTCGTCACCACCACAGATAGTCGCCGCCTTTGTGGATAGAAGGGAGATTTGCCACCATGCGACTTTGATGCCAGGACGGAGGTGGACCCAGGTACTGGTTTACTCCAATCCTTGCATCCCGGAAAAATGGATAAAAGAGATAGAAAGTTGGAAACGTCGGACTCCTCAGCTTGGGAGGCTGCTGGGTGGGAAATCCCCCGCTGCACATCGGAGTCAGATATCCAGAAATACCTCTCAAACACGATTAGGCAGTAAATCGTGATGAGGTAAAGTGGAAATAGTTCAACAAATGCATTAAAAAGTAGTCTTTTCCAGTTGCTATCCGAATACACCCATCTCACACCCATAGAATTAACTTTTCCCTAGTTGTCCACCAACATGCTGATCGTAATCCTCATATGCCTGTTCACCAGTTCAGATGAGGTCATTTTTATCGAATTCGTCTTTAAATTCCTAGGTCATATTTCTGATAGGAGAAGCTGAATATGGTTCCTTCGTCGAAAATGTGATTTTAGCCCTAGTAGCCACCTTGCGATTCCTTTACATTAACAATTTTCTCTAAGCTTTCCAAAAACACAAAAAGTTACCGAGCAGTGGGAAAGGTTCAAAAATCCGCGAGAGTGTCGTTGTTGAACTATTCCGTACTCATAAGTAATGTTCCGAAATTCTACCAGTAAAAAGCTTTTCCATTTTATTCCTTTCAGATTAACAACTTTCTTCAGCATCACAATCTTTCTCCGTCAAACACCGTCGAGACAATTCTTCTTTTTTTCTACATTCCGTTATCACATATATTGTGCGTATTCCAAAACCCCTTCCATTCCATTCGTTTGCCGGGCATTCATCGTACACAATGGTCTTTCAAATTTTGCGTGTTGTTTCGGCCGCTGCTTGAAGATTTCGTCTTCTCTATGAACGTCGTAGAATGCTGGTCGAATCGGTTCTCTTTGCAATCTTGGAGGTAGCCGAGCGGAGGCGTTCCCATTTGAATTTCGAGAACGTAGAGTCAGTGAGCCGAACTAGTGCCTTTGCTTCCTGACCGATAGCATAACTAGCCACTGCGATATCTCACCGCATTCGTCCCCCTTATAATCATACATTTGCTAGTACACTTCTTACACCGATAACTGATAGAAAGCCTTTCCCTATTATTTCTCCCCAGTCATTGCCGAACTCTTCATCGCAATGCTTGGTGGTCATTTATGCTTTTATGGGTACTTTTTGAGTACGCAAAATCAATAGATTGGCCGCCACTCCAAAGATTTATGGCCCATTAAAGGAAACCACACTGTGCTTCTTTTTAAAAAAATTTTAGCTTAGAATTACATCGTAATTCTTCGTTGTCCGATTTCAGTCTATCTTTCCAAACAATGTCCTTCAGCATATTTGAAGAAATATGCCCGAATTTCCCATTTCAACGCCCACAGTAGAACTGATCTCAGTAGAGCTCAAAAACCGGTCCGTTATTAAGTCTACAGTTGACAAATGATTAGATAAATGCAGTCAACAATGGAACAATTACGACCAGGGAATCATTAGCACTTCCTTATCATAACTGATAACTGGTGAACAAAAGGATCTTTATTCCTAATAATGCATTAAAAATTGTACTTGCTACATTCACCTACCTATTACTCACTTGTGGCACGTGTGGCGCAGTGGTCGGAAAGGCCTTGCAACACACACGTGGAATCGATACCCGCGCCCATGGCCCACCAAGCATTCCGTCCCTCCGGGATCGGAACATTGGTAGAAACACTGGCTCGATATATCGCTTGGCCACCGCGACTGATTGTAAAGGCCAGGTGTGCATTTAATCACCTCCAAACGATAATTAATGAAGTCGAATCCATGGCGCATCCCATAGGGATTAATTAACGCCGAGAGGTTTTTTTTATTACTCACTTGCCCTTAACAGTACTTGAACGCCACAGTTTACCTGTGAGTTTTACCTACGTCACTAGTAGCTTCTAGACCGAATGGAATAGGGATAGCAAAAACGAGAACAAGTGAGGTATTGCAGCAAAACAAGGATTATACAAATGACAAAACAGACAGTCATGGTCTTCCACCGTTCAAGTCCATTCAAGAAAACCTATTCAGCACATCTGACACAGGATGTATTGCTGGTTTGGAAGTCTTGTGAAGATCCCTAATTGTGGAAAACAAAAGTGGGAATTCGACACATAAACTTTGTCTGCTGTTCTGAAACTCAGCTACGGTGGATGTCGAATGAACGCCGACGGCGCTGATCATTAGAGCGATGTTAGAATTACAGTGGAACAGAACTCACCACGAGAACATGTTCTGCTTCTGACCGTCGTCAGCAGGTGGCAGTTCACCGTGTTCATCAGCCACCTGCGCACAGCAGCTCATGCATCAATCACATAGTGGGAAACACGACAAGGCCTTACCTTGTAGCGATCTTCTCGCTTGGTTTTCTGATTCACATAACAGCATAACCACGGCATGATGACGAAGTGGAGGTTGACTTCCCCAGGCAATTGTAATTTGTTACTTTTCAGTGTTGTTAGCGTGTTGCGTGACGGACACCGTTGCCTTGACGACGAATTGATGCCTTCTCCACTTTCCTGGCATAAATTGAAGCAAAGTCAAGCTCCAAAGAAGAGTCAGACGTAATTACCGCTGTAGGACCTATAGGAATGTAATAATTCAATGTTAACGGGCAACTGAATTTTCTCATCTTTCCGTGCAAAAACTTTAATGATAGTGCTGGCAATGCTTTTGCTTCATAGAACTGTTTAAACCGTGCTTACAGAAGGAAAATTACACCCAGCGCAACGGATGAGATTGGTTGCAACTCATAACACGGTTCATTTCATTTGCAGCTCAGGAACCACAACTAGTGTTTGAGGGAGCGGTTGGCATAATTGTAGTCCTGCCGTTCAATACGCGCAAGGTCCAGGTCTGACTCCGCACTGGGGCAACCACGCCCTGCATTACTCCGGTCTCCTGGGTCGGAAAATTTGTCTGATTTGTTTGAAATCAGCCCCCTCAATAAAATCTGGAATAAACGACGCCTACCTATGGGGGCCTGTGTAGACGATGAAAGCAGGAATAAAAGTAGTCCATGCCCAGATTACCGCAGGCTACTCTGATAAACACCTGAGAATAAAAACGTTAGCAGACCTCTCTTCCACGATGTGTTTGCACATGTTCCCATCTGCCCTGTAATTGTAATAGTGGTATTCTAAAAAAACCTTGCACCATTTCTAGTTCTACGCTTGCGCAAAGCAATCCCATCAAAGATCTGCAACGCAAACATTCTGCTGAGCACGCTGAACACTCCAGACTTCTGTGGTTGGGTACAATACTACAAAATACCACTTGTTTACCCGTTTTCTAGAGATGACAGACCAAACTAGGACACTTCTACGTTCCCAGAAACTACACTCTACCCATTGATCTAGTTCTCGATACTGCAATCCCGGGTAACTTCGACCATCCCGCATTCGTTTCCTAGTTTCTTCACAAACCTCTATTCCTTTTCAGCCTTACCTTAGCTTGATATCGGGAACCATTGAGTGCTTAAAATGAGAAATTCTTTCTGGATTTCTACCTTGAAATGCTACCCTTGCAGTCTCCACGTTTTTCTCGTTGTTATGCAGACACAAGATGGCCTCTCAAAGCACGAACTTCCCATTATCACACTGGTTCCCCAACAAAAATGACTGTAGTGAAATCTTACACTATGCATTCACGTACCACGGGACACATGTCGGATAAGCAGATGGCACATGAAGCGAAGGAATGCCACTTCGTTGAGATTAAAACACGATTTTCGTCCCAAATATTATTAAGAACCCAAAGCACACATAGCAACTGCGTCTCAACACAACAAATTTCTTATAGCTTGAAAATCAGCACACATTGACCCGTATACTTGTTTCTTGTGTATACTCTAGAAGCTCCCTCAACTCACTCTGCACTTATGTCCATGTTTTCTTGTTTGAAGCACATCAGTCTAACACTCGAATATCCGACTACGGTATTCTTTGATGCTATGCCTCCCTTGAAACTTCCAGGAAATGACCTATATGGACCATTTCAAAGTTTCCACAAGCCGCTAGCTGGCTCGCAACTTCCTGCCTTTGTGCTCCTAACAAAGGCAAAACGCCACACCCTCCGCGGACGCTGCGTGAGTGCGAAGAATGGGAAACACTCTCACCTTCATTATCTCTCCCATCTCTATAACAAAAGTGAACAAATCAACAACAACAGCAGTTCCAAACGTACAATAAAATCCTTCGATAAACAATACATTTTAAATGTCTGTAACAAGGAAATAGGAATGAAACACCATCGGGAGAAACCGTACTATACAAGAGGGAGAAAACAGGAGATGACATCTACTCCTGCGGACAATCACGCGAGATGTGACCAGTTTCCTGGCATCTATAACAGCGTTTCGACTCGACCGAACCGCTCTCAGTACATTCACGTGAAATATGGCCAGGTTTACCGCAATTGTAGCACTTCTGACCACCACGGAATCCGCCACCACCACCACCTCCTGACGAGCACTCACGGGCAAAATGGCCATGACCACCACACTGATAGCATTCCTGGCCGCGAGATCGGTATCCACCACTACGTCCGCCATCACGTCCACCGTTACGTCCGCCATCACGTCCTCCATCACGTCCACCATCACGTCCGCCATCACGTCCACCGTCACGGCGCTGAGTGCATTCACGCGAGAAGTGTCCTGGTTCACCACAGTTATAGCACGAACCACCTGCAGTATACAAAACATTTGAACGGCGTTTACGCATATCTATTACTTCCCCGTCATTCACAAAACTTCTCCGTTCTCCACATCAAGTGCATGTAATCAGCAAGACTGTGGTCGAGTACAGAACTACGACAGAGAACTGTAAAAGAAGGTGACCAACTCTTTCCTATAAAACTTTGCAGCCATGATTGAGACTTTACCCTTCTCTGGAAACTAGAATACAACCCACCAAAAATGTTGCTTGTTTGGGACGAAATCAATGTCAGAAAACAGTTGGTCCCAAAAAACCTAACCCATAACATGCACCTCCTAAGCAAAACAAGAGGGAGAGATGCTACTGTGAAATGAAGAACCACCAGAACTCTAACGCTTACTCCAATTTTAGGAACATTCAACGTCCTTGTAAGACCTGCACACTTCTCAAATGCAAAAATGTGAGGGATGCAACACATGATTTTAAAGGCTAAATTTTTTAGGAGAATTTTAAAGGAGAAGTTACAATTTACCAAATATTTCCCGTTCACCTAAATGAGGGTCCTACGGTGCTAAATTTGTTCTACAACTCACGATATATGCATTATTTCACATATAAGGAACTAAATCTAAAGTGCGTTCGCAAAATCCAGACAACTGAGCGTTGCTCCTGCTAGAATTTTGGAACTTACTTAATTACCTCTTGGGAAGAGCACCACTGCTTAGAAGGGGCTTCTTCACTAACAATAGTAGGGTGTGAAAAATTGCGTGTCGGGAGGAACGCGGTACTGTACTCAACACAAATGTCTTGCTGACTAGACAAAGTAGTGGTAATGGAGACGAAAATATCGATTACCTAAATATAATCAACACCCCAAACACCACCAAGTAGCACCTCCGCTGCGACCGCCGGACTCTCTTCCGTTCGGACAGTTGCGGGCGATGTGGCCAGCCTCGTGACAGTTATAGCACTCCGAATCCGACATAACGGGCTATAAAAGGTTAAACAATAGAACGAAAAGGAGATCGGAGTTATAACGACGATACCACGAAAGTAGAAACCTCAAAAAAAGAAATACATGTGAAAAGATTGGAACATTCTACTTAACAAAAGGTGGTACAGCCTCTAAACTTTCCTTCAGCAATATATAAGATGAAACCAAGAGGTATATCTCGAGTGGACTCTGAGGGAACAAGAGGAATGGCCCTCGCGATAGAACTGCCCCCAGAGATAAATTTGTCCCATCTAACCTATTTATACTTCACGGTACATAGCTTTAATACTCAATCACTAAAACACAAGAAATGACTACGAAGAACGAAAACAAAAAATAGAAAGCAGCACCCCTAACCACCGCAACAGCGAGCGCTTGTCCTAAAAACTTCGAAGTCTGGCACGAGGCCGTCTTCGCCAAGATGTGCAGGTCTCCCTGCGAGCGCGCCAATTCAAGCGAGAATTGATTTTTGGCAAGGTTCCAAATCATCTTGCTCCTTGAACAGTGAGCATTGCACTATTCTTATTTCGGTGTGGATATATCTCCTCTTATCGAGGTGTTCTTGTTGATTTGGGTAACCTTTTTAAACCTGTGGTAGGTAGGATGTTGCAGATAATCCGGAAGTTGTGGTTTCTCATATGCAATTTGTGCTTTTTCTGTAAACTTATGGACAACACTGTTTTTAAAGTGTTGTAGATTGTAAAGTAAGCAGAGCTCCGTCTAACCCTTGTCGGCTCTTTTGTCTATTCGATGGAGTGTTTTAGAAATCTACGGTTCTGCTCAGTACTATTCGTTTTTCGCAGTTATTGTTGTTTCTGTTCGGTTTGGGTTAACAAGTAATTCTTTCCAGTTAATCTATCGGCAATGGACGTTATGGTCGATGAAAAACGCGAGGCTATCCCTGCCCTAGGCTTCTATCCACATGAACCAATCAGTACTGGAGTGAGTTAATCTGTACCTGTTCTTTTCCAACTAGCTCTATTTATGCCCACGTTGTGGTCTTTAGTGATTTAAGCGAAGTCTTTGAAGCCTTGATTTTGTGTTTGTGTTGTATGTCCCCTATAGCCTGGTTAGGAGCAACTCATTTTGGATGTGCTCATCAGAGATGCTTAATTGTCAATTTATTCAGACAACTTTGATTGCAATGGAGTTTAATGGTGGCGTCGTTGTTGGCACAGACTCCAGAACCAGTTCTGGGTAAGCGAAGATATAAATGGTATCTTTACAATGGCCCAGTTCTTCAGAGTATGTCGTGGTTGTAGTGCACTGGTCTTACAGGTCATTCATTTCGTCACGAGCCACGAACAAAATCACGCCTATCACTGAGCACATGGCCGTGTGCCGCTCCGGTTCCGCTGCGGACACGCAGGCTATTGCCGATATAGTAAAATATCATATTGAAGCTTATTCGTGGGTTTGCTGCTAACTTGTAAACTTGTTTCCTCCATTAACACTATGGTTCAACTTGGCGCAGTATAGAATTCTCTTGTATACTGTTTTCCACACTCATAATGGTGCTGAGATATAATCAAAACACCAGACAGCAGGTGTCTGTGGTGGGGTACGAACACGCTATAATCCTTGCCTGGGGTTAACGCGTTCACCACTACACCATACTAGTCCTTCGTTTCGCCTTTCTCTCAACCAGTTTTCTATGTACCAGTGCTATTAGCAATCAAGCTGAGTTCATCGCCGATTTGTGGCTCACCTTCTATCTACCACACCAGCCGTGGCCCTTGCTTTGCCTTTCTCTTAGCCAAGCCACTTTACCACATTACCCTAACGGTGCCGTCAACAATCACTCATCAAGGGGATTGATCTGATGGTCGAAAATCGGCATTGAACCCAGTTAAGCTGAGGCTTTAGTCGAAATTACATTGTTTTTTAAAGTATTAAATATTGAAACCAACTGCTTCAGTATGCTTGAGCAAGAACCAGTAACGATCTACCGCGGTGCTCAGATTTTTCGCAAATTCCTCTACAACTATCGTGATCAGTTGTCTGCTTCTGTGTTGATAGCTGGTTGGGATGAGAAAAATGGGGGGCAGGTAGGATTAATCGACAACCTTCGTTCCTTACTGTTTCACTAAATGCCGTAAGTGAATTTGTAGCTTTACGCAATTCCAATCGGTGGTTTTGTCACGCGGCAGAAATCAACTGCATCCGGATCAGGATCTACTTTTGTTCAGGTATATATTACTTTCTATTTTCTCTATGCATTTACCAACAAACCTTTACAGGGTTTCCTTGATAATGCATGGAAGCCAAATTTAACTAAGGAAGAGTGTCGAGCAATAGTCAAGCAAGCAGTAGGACTTGCTGTATTTCGTGATGGGTTGGTATTTCGAGGTCTTCGGTTTGAATAAGTTAGCTCACTTATGGCGTTTTTTGAACTTGCTTTTTTATCACGTCAGGCTACTTTTAAATTGTGTTTTCTCCTTTCGTCGTAACTTGAGGGATACAAATTCCTCACTGGTCAGTTTTTAGTTCTTCTGGTGGTGTGGTACGTGTAGCAACTATCGACAAATCAGGTACAAAGCTTGAGCTGTTTCGACCCGACAAACCTGGCTTCCCCGTTGTTAAACCTCCTGGTGCACATCTTTCTTTCCCGCCCCATATCGAGCAGGCCGAAGTATAACCGTATTGGTTGTTCTGTCAGTTGTTAAGCCATTTCTAACATTGTTTCAGCCGAATTATATGTACGGTCGTCTAAAAATAAATTATTATAAATCGCTTTGCTGTACAGATTCTATAGACATGCTGCGGAAGTTCCAAGTGAGATAGGTGGGAGTAGAAGCAGTAGCAAGTACCTTTGATTGTCGTTTCAAACAACATTTCTACTAAGTCGTTATATTTTCGCAGTGGAAGTTATTGGCCTTGTTAGGGTGACAGCAAATACAGTTTGTCCATCTAAGACTGTGTACCCCCCTGACGATTTACCATCTCATCGTGGCTGGAAGGCGTTCCTGGGTGTCGGACCGCGAAGCACCGTGGTGGGGATTCGTCCACCAGGCAGGGCCTGTCTCCTAAGGTAAGAAGCAGTCTACCGTTTCCATCAGGTAGCCTAGCTAAGAGTAGACCAATACCAGGATCCACCATTGTCCTGGTATCAAACTAGTCGCATGGATGCAAATCTCCCTCTCATCCACAAGGGTGGCGACTGCCTATGGTTGTGACGATTTGGGCTGACTTTGGTTAGGCTGACGGAGCTCCACGTAACCACAATAGCTAAGCCAGCAAAACTCCGAAACGATGAAAGTTATGCTGAGTCCCGCACGTCCAGTGAGGATGACCCATGCAAGTATCCAAGTAAGTAAGTAAAACCATGTAAACGAAATCGACCGTACTCTCTAGCGAGATCCATTCGCAAATGTACGCATTTACTTCGCTAGTCCTTGTTGTTGGATTTTGTTTTTCTTTTTGCACCGCAGGATTTCTTCATTCATTATAAAATGGAAGCACTTTTTACCATAGGTAATTTGCTAAACCACACAAAATAAGCTTTGTAATCTGCAAGAACTTTTCGGACAAGTTTAGTCTCAGGGCCGGAACGTTGTAGTGTTGAAAATAGTACTATGGCATTTACACGAGGAGTACCGCAGCGACGGCTGTTGGTGAGGAAAGGACTATTTCTGGTACGCCTGCGCATTGAGATTTTGAAGCCTGCTCATAGAGTGTGCTCCATGAGAACTCATCGAACCATCTCACTAGTAAGCCACACACACATTCACTGCTTTCCTTTGATCGACACAGCTTGAAGATCCAGAATGACGTTCACCTACGCTTAACCTGATACATTCATAATATTAGCATTTGGGTAGCTTGTTCTCAAACGGTGACCTTACTTTAGTCTTATTTATGTGGCGTCCAGGTCGCCCAGGCGTACAGGTAGGTAGGGTAGCAGGACCGACAAAGTTGCGCACAACGGGACGTCCTTTGTCTTTGTACACTCTCGATGCTCGTCTAAGCTTTTCAACCTTCTCGCTCCATCCTGCTTAGCTCTGGAATTATGTTGTTCAATATGTTCACCTCTGGATACTGTTATAGTTTCTTGATGAGTTAGACGACGTTAGTTCCGTTTCGCACGCACTATCGCAGGCATTCGCTCTACATCGTAATCGCTTCATCTTATAAGAACGTAATTAGTAATAAAGCGAGCATGGCATAGCCCCAGTTATTGATATTGTATTGTCAAACGCATCTGTTTAGTCGGTGATGATGCCATTATAGAATTGCGAAGTTTTGGTTGTAGATTTTTTCTATGAAGAATGAAGAATTTTTACACAACAGGTAGAGGTTCGCTGGTAGCCAAAAGCTTGTTTAAGCCCGTCTCTGTTAATAGGACGGAAAGCCTTCTTTCATTTACGGCACTGTATGACTGTGATCCATCGCGTTGAAACTTTTGAGATACCCAGGTTACTAGCAGACTAATTTGTCCGATGTTTTGTTAAAGACGAGAAGCAGGTAGTTATGGGTGTCGCGTATCTCCATTCTTTGTGCAACAACACGGTTTATTTGGTCTTTCATTAATTGTGAACTTTGCATTGGCAGGTAACGCAAAAACTCGAGCCAGTACGTGGACGATGATGCGAGGTAGGTTCTCTGGGCGTTCGTTCTTAATCTAGTGCAGACCATTTGCGGTTCTTCACTGAATAAATATTATGTTAGTCTCTAGTACAGAGAACTGCCAGGTACGTCTTCTCTGACATGATCTGGAGGTAGGTGGAGGTGGTTGTCGGAAAGTTTGAAGTAGAGATAATGAATTACGTTTTCTATTATCCTTCTCGATGCAGTGATTATTCCGTCTGGGCGTTGTGAGAGATCATCTCGACCTTATATGATAAAATTTAGCGATATGCTTACAAGTCTATGCAGGTTCATCCAGTTCTATTGCTCTTCTCTCTTTAAGATGTTTTTTAAACGCTTTTCCGCAAAACTTTGCAAGTTTGAATGTTGCTTTGCGCGTAGGGTAATTACACGTTGGGCAGGTTAGTTTGAGAATTTATGGGGACATGCGTTTCGGTATAACTTTGGAACGAGGGTTTGAAATGGTGACTGGTTAGTCAAACTGTTTTATGGTCTTTGTACAATGACTACTGCAGTCGGTAAACGTTCTTATGCACGGCTCATCTATAAATTTGGTAAGTCATGGTACCCAGGATAGTGCTGGCCTCCACACAGTCAACTACTTCGTCTTAATCAACGAGGAACAAGATGTGAGGTATATTCCTAATCCACGAAATTGTTTGTATGTGTTCCACATAGCTAACTAGATCTCTAGCAAAATCCTGTCTACTCCACAGATTGGGCTTCACCCAGCTTTTTCGAGATGCGCAAAAAGAATATCTTCACAAAGGATGATAGGGCATGCTCTCAGTAAGCCTGAGAGGTGTTTGTTATAAAGGTTATTTTGGTGGATATTTGCAAAAGGACGATGAACAACTTACTTCATCGGTTTGGCTGGGTATCATTCCATTTGCATATATGACGTATCCGGTGTTGAGAGACGATAATTATTGAAGACTTTGAACCAGTATAAACAAATGCTCAAAGTTTATGAAAAAGGGTTTCCACCAATGAAATGGAAGCAAGGATTTCCTAGAAAACTTCCATTTCGCTATTGTTATCCACAGCTGCTTATCTATTTACCTCATGTATCAGTGTAGCCATCGTGCCAATATAAAGATAGAGCTCTTGGCGTTGATCAATCCCTGAAGAATGCCCCATACATTCTACTTTATTAAGCATTGTTAAAGGCTATTGAATGCATATCTGGCCTCTACAATGACTCGCGGTGGCCTAACCATGTATCGAGCCAGTGCTGCTATCCTCCTAGACAAGTCTGGTACCAATTTGCCGACCCCGGAGAGATGGAAGGCTTGGTAAGCCTGTGGCGCGAGGAACTATTCCATGTGTATTGCAGCGCGCGTCTGACCACTGCGCTGTGCCAATATGCTGAGGTAATACCGCTTCAAAATATTCATTAACGATAGCGTACGTTATTAATGTCGATCTAAGTATGTGATTAGCAACGAATGCTTACTTTTGCACCTTAACATTCCGGATGATTAAACGGATGACCCGTTTTTTAAAGCGCCTACTAAAAGGCAGGTGAATGGAAACGGAACCCCGGATTTGGTTATACGAGCTCCCAACTTAGTATAACTTCAAATAATCCTTTGTAAATAATAAACGGAGCTAGAATATTAGAACATGGTTAGTATGAACTCGGATATCCTTAGAGCTAATTCCTGTTTCTTCAAGAAGTCCACATGTAAATATCAGTGGTGAGCTTTCTAAGCTGGTTTTCCGTTGTTTGTGAACCACTGAGCAATTCCTTGTTAGCCATAGAAACGAATTGGAAGAGTAGTTAGTTCACTGTAAATGACAGATTGTGCTATAAACCTTGAAATCGCTAAAGTGAGTCGATTATGTGGAATTTCTTCTACAGAATGAGCTCGCTCTCAAGCGTTCTAGACGTTTTTCTGCTTAAATGACAAATGTAAACGTAAACTTTGGTGATATCCAAAGGTCGATACAACCACAACAACACCCACCAAAGTAGTTCAGTCAGATGAATTATTTGATGAAAGCCTAGAATAACTATTGATATGAATAAGCGTACTTTATCAAATCCCTCATCGTTCGCAAAATCCTCAAAAGCCTGATTGGATAGTGCCAGTGACGGGTAGCAATTATTGTGCCCTATTTCTCCTGTACAACAATTTGTGAGTGACCATCCAGACCGGGGCAGTGACCGGTATCGACCAGCACAGGCCGTGAGCCATAACTGTCCTGTCCGCTTGAATGAGATGCTGATCGACGAACACGGTGACCAAGTGGAAGCCGTGCCAGCTTGTGGATCGGCACGATCATAACGCCATAACGCTAAACTCCGACACCGAACTCAAACTCGATTGATATTGACTCATCCACAGTTCTATCCAAATATGTCAGTCATGGGAGATGTTGTCGGATCTCCTCTGACTCACCGAAACAAGCAGTGCTTGGCGGTTCTGTTTGCAGATTTGAAAAATGAAAACGTACAACTTCACTGCGCCACTTGTGTACTCGTTGCATCCTCGAAGCTTCGCATTCCTGTTTTCTTCTTTGGCTATAGATGCAAGCGTATTTGACATTTATTAAGAATTTAGGATTGTTCAAACACAAGTATGAAAGCTGAACATTAAGGAAGCGTGTATGAATATGAATATGCTTTTCAGATTGTTAAGCTTATAGGAGGTCGATGAAGACTTTTCATATTAGTTGATGTTATGTTAAAGTTAATGATCGGAAACATCGTTTAAGCTCAACAGTCTAAAAATTATACCAATTATTGAAGACGAGGTTAAATGTTGGTCGCCTTTGAGGTGTATAGATATGGTTGGTGGGATAAAAAAGATTTCGAAAACGGTGGTCATTAGTGATTTTGACGAGCTGGGAAGGTTTAAGACATTCAACAATAGATCGAATATGACTAGACAATATAAACGATGCTGAACACGAGAAAAAAATGAGAAAGAAGAAAGAAAAAGCACACAGTATGGCGGACAAAAGTTCTCGTTCGTTGGTCTCCAGAACACCATGCTGTTACTGTTCATTTTGGCTTCGTTACTTCCTTTTTAAATGTAATATACA